GAGGTGTTTATGTGTACCCTTGGACCCCTGTAAGGTGGAAGGTGTTTACGTGTACCCTATAGGACCCCCCCCCCCCCGTCTAGGAAGAGGTGTTTTGGGTACCCTAGGACCCCTTGTCTAGGGGGTGGTGTTTACGAGTACCCTAGGACCCCTGTCTAGGGGGAGGTGTTTATGTGTACCCTAGGACCCCCTGTCTAGGGGAGGTGTTTATGTGTACCCTAGGACCCCCTGTCTAGGGGGAGGTGTTTATGTGTACCCTAGGACCCCCTGTCTGTGGGGAGGTGATTATGTGTACCCTAGGACCCCCTGCCTATGGGGAGGTGTTTATGGGTACCCTAGGACCCCCTGTCTAGGGGGAGGTGATTTTGGGTACCCTAAGACCCCCTGTCTAGGGGGAGGCGATTATGTGTACCCTAGGATCCCCTGTCTAGGGGAGGTGGATATTGTCATCTAGGACCCTCCTTCTATGCTCATGGATACGATAAATGTTTAAAGCGTTTTAGGAAAAAAGAACGTTTTTATTATCTTAGGTTTCATTAGTTAACATTAATAAGAGTTCTAGTTAATAATGGTAACTGAACAAAAAATCAATAGGATAGATTACTTCCGTTGAGCTTCACTTGGCTCTCTAGCTATCAGAAGTTATTCAAAATAGACAGAACTGCACATGCCAGAAGAATAATACCGCTGAGCTTGGTGGCTACACCAGTGTTGCACAAATCCCCGTCACAGCAATTGACCTTGCATTCAATTTTTTGTCCTGTTAAAAGAAAATAGAAGCGATGCCAGGAATGAGAACTCGACAAAATGTCCGATACCCTAAAGACAATCTACCGTACCCTACCGACCTTGGGAACCTTACCGACAATCTACAGATAGCGGATCACTACCGACGACATAGCAAAAATCTGATCCCCTTCCGCAGCTACCAACCACATCGAAGGATACTTTATTTGAAACCGACTTTACCTGTTCTACCGACAACCGACCGATTCTCTACCGACAACCTACTGATGCCCTATCCACACATACCTTTACCCTACTGACGACACTGGTGAAAAACGCACTGCGCATGCGTTGTGAGAAAAAAATGCATTTTCAAAGATTATTTTTGCTTTGTATAAACAAAAGTTTTTTGTATAAATCAGCAGTGTATCACAATTGAAATTATCTTGCTACTACGAAAAGGACAACCTTAAGTTTTCAGTATTTTTCTTAAGTTTTGCGATTTTGTAAAACATTCAAACACCGGCATCAAAAATATCAGTTGCCCTTAGTTACGCTACGCCATCTCCGAGCGTGCGCAGTGCCTTTTTCACCAGTGTCCCTACTGACAGCACCTATTTTTCCGACATCATACCGATACCCTACCGACAATCTACATATGCTAACCACCTAAGGATACTTTATCGACATCGTACCGGTATCGTACCGAAAATATGTCGATATCCTACACAACAGTTGCTTATCTTCCTCTTTTATGGGAGTAGGGTGGGGAGTAGTGGTGGGTTTCAATAAAAAGTAATAAAACATAATAAGATAAAATAAAGTTACCAGAAATAAAATTCTTGCATCGTGACAGGGTCTGGGCAGTGCAACTTTCAGGCGGAACACACCCTTTGAAATAGGAATCGGCACTGATAGCCCCCTCGATATGTATCTCTGCTTTAAGGCACCTTGTATAGGAAGAGGGACATGTTTTCTCTTTCTTTTCATCATTACACTTGTCCCAATCCTTCGTAGTCNAAAAAGCATATATATACAAAGCTTTTTTATTACAAACTACGCTCAGAAGAGGTGAGACTGTAACCGGTAAAAGATTCGCAAGTCCATGAACAGTTATCAAGCGGTTGAACGTGTAAAATGAATCTACCCATAATCCTTGTCGGCCTCAGCTTTATAGCTTTTCAGGTGACGAACTTAATTGAAATAAGCCGTATACATGTATCCCCTTTTTCCAATTGTCGTACCTGGATTTTCATGGAAAGACTGTATCTACATATATATCGCTAAATTGTCAGGTCAGGCGAAGGCCACCCTAGGACCCCTGTCTGTGGAGAGGTGTTTATGTGTACCCTAGGACCCCCTGTCTAGGGGTAGGTGTTTATGTGTACCCTAGGACCCCCTGTCTGTGGGGAGGTGTTTATGGGCACCCTAGGACCCCCTGTGTGTGGGGAGGTGTTTATGTGTACCCTAGGACCCCTGTCTGTGGGGAGGTGTTTATGTGTACCCTAGGACCCCTGTCTAGGGGGAGGTGTTTATGTGTACCCTTGGACCCCGTATGTGGGGAGGTGTGTATTGGCACCCTAGGACCCCTGTAAGGTGGAAGGTGTTTACGTGTACCCTATAGGACCCCCCCCCCCCTGGTCTAGGAAGAGGTGTTTACGTGTACCCTATGACCCCTGTCTAGGGGGAGGTGTTTATGTGTACCCTAGGACTCCCTGTATGTGGGGAGGAGTTTATGGGCATCCTAGAACCCCCTGTCTAGGGGAGGTAGATATTTCCATCTAGGACCCTCCTTCTATGCTCATGGACACGATAAATGTTTGACGCGTTTTAGGAAAAAAAGAACGTTTTTATTATCTTAGGTTTTATTAGTTAACAGCAGTAAGAGTTCTAGTCAATAATGGTAACTGAACATGTACAAAAAATCATTAGGATAGCTAGATTACTTCCGTTGGACTCCACTTGGCTCTCTAGCTATCAGAAGTTATTCAAAATAGACAGAACTGCACATGCCAGAAGAATAATACCGCTGAGCTTGGTGGCTACACCAGTGTTGCACAAATCCCCGTCACAGCAATTGACCTTGCAACTAACTTTTACCCCTGTTAAAAGAAAATAGAAGCAAAGTCAAGAATGACAATTCGACAAATTGTCCGATACCCTACCGATAACCTACCGTACCCTACCGACCTTGGGATGCCTTACCGACAACTTACCGATAGCCAACCCCTACCAACGACATGCCAAAAAGTCCCCTTCCGACCAGCAGCTACCGACCACATCGAAGGACACTGCAACCTAGCGATACCCTACTAACTTAGGTATGCTCTACCGACATGCAACCGACCGATTCTCTACCGACAACATACCGATACCCTATCCACACATACCTATACCCTACTGACAGAACCTTTATTTTCCGACATCATACCGATACCCTACCRACAATCTACATATATGCTAACCACCTAAGGATACTCTATCGTCATCGTACCTGTGTCCTCCCAAAAATATGTCAACAACAGTTGCATGTGGGGATAGTGGTGGGTTTCAAAAAAGTAATATAACATAATAAGACAAAATAAAATTACCAGGAACCGAAGTCTTGCATTTTTCTAGGGTCTGGGCAGTGCAACTGTCAGGCGGAACACACCCTTTTAGATATGTATCGGCACTGGCCGCCCCTTCGAAATGTACCTCTGCTTTGAGGCACCTCGTATAGGAAGAGGGACATGTTTGCTCTTTCTTGGCGTCATTACACTTGTCCCAATCCTTCGTAGTCGCACAAGAGTAGCATTCGAGACCATTTACTAGTAAAATAAAATAATAGTCAAGGCTACGAATATACATTCTACTCGAAAGGCCACGTTCGGTGAATGAAATATTAAGATTANNNACTGTTACTGTTACTGTTACTGTTACTGTTACTGTTACTGTTACTGTTACTGTTACTGTTACTGTTACTGTTACTGTTACTGTTACTCTTATTGTTATTGTTATTGTTATTGTTATTATTATTGTTATTATTATTATTATTATTACAGTCGACTCTCCCGTAAGCGACCACCTCGGGGCCAGGAGAAAGTGGTCCCTTACGGGAAATGGTCGCTTACGAGAGTTAACACAGGAAGCCCAAACTATGGGAATCCCAACACAGGAAGCCTAAACCCTTTATAATTTTGTAACTCACGTGTTAAAACTACTGTACTAACGATTAAACTGTTTTAGTCAAAACCTTGAGTGTGCTATATGTTTACAGTACTGTAAATGTCAATATTTCGTCGGGTTTTTAATACCCGATGACTCTATGTTCTTAAATTTTTTATTGTTAAGGATCTGTCACCATTACTGGCTCTTGGGTGTTCGCTTACGGGAGAGGAAAAACAATGACAAATTCCAAAATTTTAACCCCAAAGGTGGTCGCGGTCGCTTACGAGAGTGGTCGCTTACGAGAGAGTTTTTTTTTACAGAGTTTATATGGGGAACAAAACGGGGAATTCAAAAAGTGGTCGCTTATGGGAGATGTTCGCTTACGAGAGTGATCGTTCAAAGAGAGTCGACTGTATTATTATTATTATTATTATATGCCTATTGCCTCAAAGAATTTGTAGAATAATCACGTTTCCAGTGAATCGTAAGTTATCTATTTATGGTATTAATTTTAGATTTTGAATCTGAAATTAGGCTTAATAACCCTTAGTAAATGAGTATATAGTGTAATCATCATCATCATCATCATCATCATCATCATCATCATCACGAAAAACTTAATTTCGCAATAGTACCCAGGGTTCTTCAAGACATGAGACCTTTGCGAGCTTCTGCTATAGGGTTCCCGCTTAATTAGCATGCACCAGCTGTCAATTAAGAAGAAGGAAGGGTTTCTCTTGAGAAAATTAAAAATTCAAAAATCAAAAATCAAGAGCGACTGTCTCAGTTAAAATCAAGAATCGGGCGAGAATTGCAAGCATTAGAATTTCCCCCCAAAAAGACTCTGTATTCAGTCACGTGATAAGCTAGATTGGCACTTCCTTTTTCGTGTTTCCATATCGTACGTATATCATATGTGTTTTCGATGGAACGTGACGTCACGAATGGAAACAACACTTTTCCAGTGATTTCTGGTTTCTGGTTTCTGGTTTCTGGTTTCTGGTTTCTGGTTTCTGGTTTCTGGT